GCCTGCGTGGGGAGCCAGCAGTCCAGCAGCCTTGTTCTCACTGCCAGACCCCAAATCCACGTCACTGGGGCTTTGCAAGCTGCCCATCGCCTGGGGGAAGGGCTGGGCAGGGCAGTGGGGATGGAGCACAGGGAGTCGGTGGCCGTGTAGCTGTCCCCAGACCCCTCTGGCAGGCAGGACGGTGCCCGCCCAGCGCCGCTGCCCCTGCCCGAAGCTCGGGCAACTCCCCACTGCATCCAGGGGTCCCCACTCCATCACCAGGCGCTTGCTTGTCCCCAAGCCCTGTTCATGGGAGCAAAGCTGGAGCAGCCAGCGAGCCCAGGAGTGCCGACCCGCCTCCTCCTCTCCTCTCGGGCAGGAGTGATCGGTTTGCAGCTCATCAATGGGAAGAACGAGTCCGCCCACATCAGTGACGCTGTTGCCGTGGTGGCACAGGCCGTGCACGACTTGTTTGAGAAGGAGAACATCACAGACCCACCACGGGGCTGCGTGGGCAACACCAACATCTGGAAGACAGGACCCCTTTTCAAGAGGTATTTGGTAAAGGGTCCTGCTGAAGGGAGCAGAGGACCTGCTGGGGGAGAGCTGGAAAAGGTGGGAGTATGTGGAAAAGGTGCAGGAGGACATGGCAGCTTTGCTCAGAGTATCTGTCACTACAGCTTTGGGGCATGTGGCATACGGCTGACTGGACTCTCCTGCATGATTTGGATGTGAAGGCTACATCTCTCCTAGAAAACTATCCCAGACACAGGCTCAGGAAGTGGCACCCAGTTTAGGCATCATGTGGTGCCTGGCACCGAGTTGGTCCATGCCAACCCGTGCTGCCCAGGGCAATGCTTGGGCAGCTGGGATGTGTGGGCAGGGAATGGCTCTAGGAGGAAAAGATCTGGGGGCCGTGATCTCCTCCAGTCTGGATCATAATTCCATGGGTGGAAGTGGGAGAGAGGGGGGTTTTCTGCCAAATCAGGGTAGGGGAGTGTTTCTGTCAAACTGGAGCTCGGTGCTGTGGACACATTTCCTGCTGAACATTGCAAGGGCTGTGGCATGGGTCAGTGTGCTGCAAGCAGAGCTTGGTGGCAAGAGATCTCCCTGCATGGGACAGGCTGCTCAACAGATGAGAGCATGCGTGTGTTGGGTCTTGCCTCCACGGGCAGAAGGATTGGCAGATGCTGCATGTGCTTCCCAGAACCCAAACTTTGTGCACATCAGTGTGGATGCTGGAGCCACAGGGCCTCTTCTGCAGGCTGGACTGTGGTACAGCAGCAATTCCCTGCAGACCTGGGTTCTGCTGAGCATGGAACCTGCAAAACCTGGAGTTTGTTTTAGGAATATTTCTGGTATCCTCTGCAGCGACACAGTCTTTGGCATGAGAGAGTCAAAGTTGTTCTCCACAAGCGGCTCAGGCAATCATTCTGTGTCTTCACTATCATCTTTCCAGAGTTTGGGGGCTGGTCTCCTCTTGCTGGGGTATGTGTGTTCCTGGGGCTCTGTTGTAGGCTGTGATGAGCTGGTGTCAATCAGAGGCACCAGGAATGGCGACATGGACACAGTTCCCAAGGGACACCAAGAGGAAGGTGTTCTTGGGTGTTGTGGGACACAATTCCTTAAGGAAATGGGAATGATCTACTGGAAAACAAGGGACAGTGAGAGCAGATGTGGTAGTGAACATTCAGGCAAATGACTCCATCCACCAGGAGGGGATGGTTTCTGGTCTGTGAACAGACCATAGGCAGCCTTGGCTGGATTTCTGTAGTGTAGTGTGCATATGGCAGGTGACTGAGAGATTTGCCCTTCTGATGCCTTCTTAGGTGTCCCAATGGCCACAGCAGGTTTTCTAGGTTGTCCCCACTGTGTTTCCCTCTCCAGGGTGTTGATGTCCTCCAAGTACTCGGAGGGTGTCACCGGCAGGGTGGAGTTCAATGAGGATGGGGACAGGAAGTTTGCCAACTACAGCATCATGAACCTGCAGAATCGGAAACTGGTCCAAGTTGGGATTTACAACGGCAGCAATGTACGTACAGGCCTGGCCTGGGAGGGAGCAGTGTGTGCACCGGGGTGTCTACCTGTGGCCTTACATCCCTCTGCTTCCTCTGGGATCAATCACAGGTCTTGACCAACGACAGGAAGATTATCTGGCCCGGGGGGGAAACCGAGAAACCTCAAGGCTATCAGATGTCGACCAAGTTGAAGGTAACAGCAAACGGCATTAGGGGGTGGCAGGTCTCCTCAGCTCTCTGCATGCCAGGCCATGGCTTTATCTGCCTCCACCTCCACTGCTGCCTCTGCAGCTCTCAGCAGCCTTTGCAAACCCAGGGCACCTCAGAGAGGATGTAGCAGAACAATACAGAAGGTACTGGAGGGTGTTCAGAGCACAGCTTTCAGCTGGAATCAAACTCCAGAAGCTGGAGGTGACACTGGAAGAAGATGTCTCCAGTCTTGCTTTGCTTGTCATGCTCTTCCCTTAGGTGTCACCCAGCAGCCACTTTAGTGACTGGATCCTGGCCAGGCCAGTCTTACCACTATGGCCATTCATTTGTCCTGCTGCCCAGGCAAGGAACACATTCCTGCTGGTAGTGGAGCCCTTGTCCCTGCAGAGGTGGTGTTGGTATTTTGGGATGTTGCTCAACTGAAAAAGTCTAGGGTAGGACTGAAATATCTGCATTAGCTCGGGGCAGTGTGACTGTGTCTAGAGGCCCTTTCTGGTCACTAATCCTGGCTGTGTGGTGTCTCCCATCAGCCTCCTGTTAGGGAGAGGGGTTTTGAGGCTCATGAGAAAGTCTCACACGAAGGAGAGTGCTGATACATCTGTTCCTCACCTTGGGATCAGGGAAAGCAATTGTTCTTAAGAGATGGCCTTGACAGTGCTGGGTGAACAGCTGGAATTCACGATTTCAAAGGTCTTTTCCAGCTAAATGGTTCTATGATTCTGTGATTCCCCTGTGCCAAAGCCAGGTCCTGCTGCTGGGCTGAGCAGTCTTGTGTGCTGAGATGGCAGCTGGGGAGGGCACCTGGGCATTTTAGCCGTGCTGGTGTGGAGAGGGAGCCCAGGCCCTCACCACGGAAATGTAGCTCTGGAAGGGGACAGAGACAAGAGGGTGTTTGTGCTTGGCCTGGCAGATCGTGACGATCCACCAGGAGCCCTTTGTGTATGTGAAGCCCACCCAAGCAGATGGGACGTGCAGGGAGGAATTCACCATCAACGGAGATCCTGTGAAAAAGGTCTTCTGCACTGGGCCCAACGAGACCATCCCAGGTAACTCAGCGTGGGGGTGAGCCCCCAGCCCACCCAGCTGATGAAGACTGCCACTCCAGGAAGGGGTCTCAGGGAGTGCTCAGTCACACAGGAAGCCTAGAGGATGAGGGGCAGAAAGGGGACAGCACAGTCAGCCCCCAAATGACCCCCATCAGCTCAGCCCCACAGTAGTGCTGTGCAGGAACTGGGCACTGGGGCTCAGGTTTTTGAACCCAACACATTACTTGAACCCAACAGATCCTCTTTTCTGGATGGGCTGCAGGGCTGTTTTGGGGGTTGCACCCCAAGTTTCTGTCTCCTGACATGCTCCAGTTCTCTTTGCCTTGATCTCCAGCAGAAGTGAGACACTCGAGGCACATTAGCACTGCCTGCACTGATATGAACAACACCAGTTTCCAACTGATATGGAAAGCCTGTGTCAGGATGAGGAGTGAGCACCTGGGGGGAGCATGAGCTGCTCAGCAGTGCCAGGCTTGCCCAAATCCACCTGAAGGGCATCCCCTTGGCTCGTCATGCTTTCCTGTGCACACCATTCCCCCAGCCCTGAGCTGTGTCCTGGGCTGTGTTCAATCTGCTGGGTCCACCCTGCCCTCAGTGGGTGGGTAGCACCAACTCTCAGCCCACCTCTCTGGGACATAGCAAAGGAATGAGACCCCTTTGCCCCCAGCAAAGACCTCTTTGCTCCCACACCAGAGGTGATGGAGGCAGTGAGAGGGTGGTCAAGGCAGACGGCCCTGAAGGATAACGTGGTTACACCCCACATGGAACCAGAGCCACGAGGTGGCTGTTCTCACTGGGACAGGCATGGATCCTGCATGGGGTTCCTGGCAAAGGGCTGCCTCCACTCCACTCCACTCCACTCCTGCCCCCGTTCTGTCCCCTCCACAGGCCGTCCCACAGTGGCTCTGTGCTGCTACGGCTTCTGCATCGACCTGCTCATCCGCCTGGCAGGGGTCATGAACTTCACCTATGAGGTTCACCTGGTGGCTGATGGTAAATTTGGTACCCAAGAGCGGGTGAGTTTGGGCACTGTGATGTCTCTTTGCCTGTATCATGTGTTCAGACGCCCCCAGGCCCTTCCCTGGAGCAGGGGTGGGGAGGGAGGGCAGTGCAGGACGGGGATCCTGTGGGGATCCTGGCTGATGGGGGAAGGGTGTCAGGGCAGGAGTCTGATCCTGTGTTGGCTCTCTGGCAGGTGAACAACAGCAACAAGAAGGAGTGGAATGGGATGATGGGGGAGCTGCTGAGTGGCCAAGCAGACATGATTGTGGCTCCCCTCACCATCAACAACGAGCGGGCTCAGTACATCGAGTTCTCCAAGCCCTTCAAGTACCAGGGACTCACCATCCTTGTGAAGAAGGTATGGGCTGGGGTGGGGTGTTTTGCAGAACAGGGGAGGTGACCCCTGCTCCCCACATAACAGAGAAGTGCCATGCCCACACCATGCCCAGTTCGACCCGTGCTGCCCCTGCCCACTCCAGGGCAGCCCCTGCAAACCCCAACCCCCAGGCTGGGTTTAGTGCTGGCTCTTTTCTCTGCCACCCTCACCCTTCCTGTGTAGCCGAGCAGGAGGAGCTCAGAGCAGGGCAGGGTCCCTGTGGGTCTGGGCAGGTGGGCAGGGTGTGGGTGTGGTGGGTGCCAGCGCTGTTCTCCTCTCTCTGTGTGCCAGGAAATCCCCCGCAGCACCTTGGACTCATTCATGCAGCCCTTCCAGAGCACCCTCTGGCTGCTGGTGGGGCTGTCCGTGCACGTGGTGGCAGTGATGTTGTACCTCTTAGACCGATTCAGGTGAGTGCACCTCGGGCCCCCCAAGGGCTGGAGGGGACAGGGAGGTGCTCCTGGGAACCATCCCCTGGGTCCCCGCAGTGTCAGGCACAGCCCTGCAGCCCTCTGGGGAGCTCTCACAGGAACTAACCCCACCTTCCCTGCCTCACCAGCCCTGGGCTGAGGCTCCTGTCCCCTCTGGCTGCCTGAGTTTCCCCTGAGATAGTTTCCTCTGGCCCTTCCTTAGCCCTGTGACAGCTCCTCTGAAGGGCAGGGAACCTGTCCCCACCTCAGCCCTGTGCCCAGACACCTTGGTGGCTGATCTGCAGTGAACCCTCCGTGTTGCAGTGGGAGAGGCTTGAGCTGGTCAGGATCAGATCATCCTTCTGGTCTGGAGAGACGTGTGATGGGACTGGTACCAGAGTGGGATGTGCAGGGTTGCCTATCAGCACTGGGGATGTGCAAGGCAGCAGGACATGATGAGGAAGAGCTGTTTGGAACACAGGCACAGGCTGTAGGGCTGAGTGATACAGGGCTGCATCAGGACACTTAGGAGGGCACAGTGGAGAGCCCCAGAAACCAGGCTCTGGGAAATGAGAGGAGTTCTTTATCTTGTTTTCCAGCCCCTTTGGCCGGTTCAAAGTAAACAGTGAGGAGGAGGAGGAGGATGCCCTGACCCTCTCCTCGGCCATGTGGTTCTCCTGGGGGGTCCTGCTGAACTCTGGCATTGGAGAAGGTGAGTCACAGCTCACAGTGGGACTGATGTGCCCTGCAGCCCTGGCCCTGAGCTGAGAAGGCTGAGGGAGAAGCCTCTCACTGATGAGGCTGATGCCCTTTGGGGACCTCACTCCCTGAGCCTTCCCTGAAGCAGGCTGGTAGAAGACTGGAAATGCTGAGTGTGGCACACTTGTGGCACTTGTGAGGGCTACCCTTCCACCCCCAGTGTCAGTGGGGTAAACAGGTCTTCCTTTGCTGTGCATCCTGCCCAGAGTTACCCACCCATGGAGGATGGGACACAGCATGCCCTGGAAGGAGCTGTTTTTTTCTTGGTTCAGGCAATGCAGAAGCTGCTTGCACAGCTCTTGGCAGAGCAGATAGATGGTGCATGTCTGCAGCTGCCGTTGGTCTCACATAGACTGACGTGTCTTTGATGACCAAGCCAGGCCCTTGTCGTGCCAGTCTGATCTCTCCTCTCTCCCCCCAGGTGCTCCCCGGAGTTTCTCTGCCCGTATTCTTGGCATGGTGTGGGCTGGCTTTGCTATGATCATTGTGGCCTCATACACTGCCAACCTGGCAGCCTTCCTGGTGTTAGACAGACCTGAGGAGAGAATCACAGGCATCAACGACCCCAGGGTAAACCCCTTCACTTGCTTTCCCCTTCCCTGCCCACCTCTGGGCATGTAATGTGGCTTGTAGTTCCCAGAGCCCTGATTTACCGTGGCTGGGAGCTATGCCAGGGGGCAAAACCAAGCTCTTCCTGGGCTGATCCTGATGGGTCTGAGCCCTTGCTCTGAGTGGGAATGGACAGACATGGGGAGGGATCAGCTTGTCCAGAATAACCCCTATGCAAACTGCCTGCCAGTTCCTGGAGAGCCTCCACTAACCAACGAGGAAACAATTAATTATAGATGACTTATACCTAATGAAATTGTCCCTGCGGTACAGTCAATACTCTCCACATGCCTCAAATCCATTTCCTGCTCTGGCAAGGACACAGCCACAGCTTATCAGCCCCATCACACAGGAATGTGCCCTGCAGCAGCACTGACCCACAGTGCCCTACACCCTGCTGCATCCTGCCCAGGGCACTGCCAGCCCCGTGGTATCCACAGCCTCCTGCACCCTCAGTGCCATGGTGTCCCTGTCCCACAGTGTCCCCTGCTCTGCCACCACGGTCCCAGAGCATCCACTGCCCTGCGGCATCCTCTGAGGAGATCAAGGTCTTCTCTAGGGAACAGGTCCCTGAAGGAGGTGGGAAAGCCAGTTTTGCTGATGAAGGACAGAAAAAATAGGAGCCTTGTCGCAGAATCACAAAATATTCTGAGTTGGGAGGGACCCACAAGGATCATCGAGTCCCCCTTTTCAGTGAATGACCCAGCAGGAATCAAGCCCACAGCTGCGGTGTTAGGAGCACCACGATCTCCCCAGATGAGCTGATCTCGGGGTCTGTCCTTGCCTTTCAGCTGCGCAACCCCTCCGACAAGTTCATCTACGCCACGGTGAAGCAGAGCTCCGTGGACATTTACTTCCGACGGCAGGTGGAGCTGAGCACCATGTACCGGCACATGGAGAAGCACAACTACGAGAGCGCTGCCGAAGCCATCCAGGCAGTGAGGGACAAGTGAGTGGGGCCAGCGCCCTGTCTGGCTGTGCTGGGAGGGGTTTCAGGGAGCTACAGCTGGGTGGAGCACGCAGGGTCAAGGGAGCTGCAATCCAAGTGTGTCCTGGTGGGACCTCCCACGTGGTGCCGAGAGGGATCTTCCTGTTCCTGGTGCGTTTCAGGTCTCTGGGTGGAGAGCACAAGGTCTGTGTGGGGAACAGCACAGTGGGAGCCCTGGCCCTTCTGGCCTCTGCTCTTCCTTCTGTGCAAGGCTGGGTGGCTTCAGTGCTTAAATTAGGGCTGGGAGCACCCTGGCTGCTCCCGCCGCGGCTGCAGACGGCTGGGCTGCCCCACTTCACCTGCCTGTCCTCTCTCTCTGTCCAGCAAGCTCCACGCCTTCATCTGGGACTCGGCCGTGCTGGAGTTCGAAGCCTCCCAGAAGTGTGACCTGGTGACGACGGGGGAACTCTTCTTCCGCTCCGGCTTCGGGATCGGGATGCGCAAGGACAGCCCGTGGAAGCAGAACGTCTCCCTGGCCATCCTCAAGTCCGTACACAGCTCGTGGCGTGGGGCTTGCCCCCAATGCTGCATGTGTTGGCACGCAAGTAGCCTCATGCCAGGCACTGCTTCCCCCCTGCAGGGACAGGGGTGCTGGGGGCTGCCGTGTCCCTCCTGACACAGGGGACACGGAACGGCCAGCATGGGCACCCACAGCCTCAGCTCCAGCTTGCAGGGCTGGGGGAGCAGCAGGGAGCTGGTGGGAGAGCAGAGCAGAGCAGGGCAGGGATCAGGAGCCAGGCTTGGCCAGGAGTGTAGGGAAAACTGGCAGAGAAAGCTGAGGGCACCCCGCTCCAGGTCGCAGTGAGCAGGGTGTGGGTGCTGCCATCTCCCCACCTCTCCTTGTGGATTCAGCCAGCCTGACAGCATTGCACTGCCCTGGCTTGGTCTGCCAGGGGCTTTCTTTCAGCTCTGGCTATTCCTGTTAGGCAGGGATATGTCAGGACCCCTGCTGAGTCCAGCTAAGGCTTTTCCACCAGCATTAGCCTGCAGTGTGGAGTGTCACAGGTCAGACTGGTATTATGGGTAACAAGAGATTGCCTTGTATTAGTTTGGAAATGCCACACTTGTGTCAGACAGACGAATGTGGCGATGGAGGAACAGGCAGCTGGGAAGCAGCAAATGGAGAGAGACAGACGTGAGATTGTTTTTAGGAGAGACAGGACCAGGAGCCACCACAGTCCTGCCCAACATGTGGAGATGAAAAGCCTGAGAAAGAGGATGGGCAGGATGTGGAAGACACAGGCAGGACCCAGGGTGATGTAGGGAGCCGTGGTTACCCCATCTGTGGGGTGATCTTACCGTGGGGATGGGTGACAGATGGGATTTGGGTAAACAATGTGAGAAGCCTGAAGAGGCCACAGGGGTCCTTGGTACCCTCCTGGGAGAGGATGCAGAAGCCCAAGGCTGCAGGTGGCCCAGAAAGGCGGTGGGGACGTGCCAGGTACAACAGGGAGGAAAGTGCAGGGGGCCCATGGTGAGATGTGTGCTCTGTGCTCTGCCAGGCAGCAGTGCCCTGACCTAGAGGGTGCTGGGGATCCCACAAAACGATTTGGGTCAGCATTGCATGAGCTCTCAAGTGGCCCTGGCAGGTGGGGGGACCATGCAGGAGGGAACTGGGAGACGTGGTTCATGTCCACTCCCTGCAGCCTCTCTCCAAATGCTCTCTGAGCATTGCCTACAGCTGCCAGCTCCATCCTTTCCATGGGAACACGCCTTACATGTGGCTCTTTTGGCAACAGCTGTCTGCCCCACAGCTGCCCCAGGGGTACTGGGAAGCTGTGGGTCCTGCTCACAGCCACTGTGCAGGGGAGGGTGAGCACCTGCAGTACTGGCAGCCCCTGCAGACAGGCCATACTCACACTGTCCATGTGAAGACCACACACGTGTGCACTCACACACAGCCAGCACATCCTTGGTCCCTATTGTTTGTAGGCTGCAGACAAGTGCAGGGTCCTAATACAGGGGGCACAAAGGCACAACGTGTGCCCCAGCTGCATGTTGCTGGTTCCCAGTGACTACTCTGTCCTGTCTCCTTGTGCTTCCAGGTCCCACGAGAACGGTTTCATGGAGGATTTGGACAAGACTTGGGTGAGGTATCAGGAGTGTGATTCCCGTAGCAATGCCCCAGCAACACTCACCTTTGAGAATATGGCAGGTTTGTTCTGCAAACCTCTTTCTTCCCCCTCGCTGGGTAGTCTGCTTTCATTCAAGACACTCTCCTCTCCAGGGCTTCCTCTTGGGCCAAATCTCTGCTTCTTCTGGGTCTGTGCTTTCCTCCTGCTGGGAGGTTGCTGTGGTGGGCTCCAACTCCACCCTGTCTGAAACAATTCCACAAAGCTTCCCCCACATGCCCTGGGTGCCCTTCTCACCCGTGGGGCTGCCCTGCTGTGAGCACTGCTCCTTCCCTCTGCTCTGGCCAAACTGTGGCTGTCACTGTGGAATCAGAGCTGCCCCAAGCAGAGAGAGGGGAACAGCACCTGGGGAAGGGCAGGAGAGGACCCTGCTGCAGGAGGGGGCTGGAGGCAAGAGACAGCCCCCCAGCCCTGAGAGCCCTGGGCAGAGGCAAGAAGAGGAAAATGGATGCAGAGGGGTTTTTGTCTTGGTCCCCCTTTGCAAAGGCTGTGAGAACCCAGAGACAGGGTGTCCCTTGCAGCAATGTGGTGCTACTGGTCCTGTACCCAGCCAGTGCAGTGATGAGGGATGAGGGGTGTCCGATGGGACCCCGTCCTCGCCAGCACCACCAGCCAGGGCAGAGGCACTGAGAGAGGGGGTGCTTTGCTCTGTCTCCTCAAGACACCACTCCAAAGCCCCGAGGGCTGCAGGGATCTGAGGACAGCACAGAGCTCTGTGCATGGCTATATTTCTCAACAAGACAAACTGGAGCTCCACAGCTGGGGTGTGGTGCAAGCGACCCCGCAGTCCCACGTGGGGGTCTGCCCGGGGGCTCGGTGCAGCAGCCAGCACGCAGCACTGGCGCAGCACAGTGCCCTGTGCCTGCCCAACCAGAGCTTGCACAGACATTCAGCACCCTACCACCTCTCTGCCCACCCTGCAGCACCTCCTGTGTTCCCCTCCTCGGCCCCTCCAGGACTAGGGGGGATGGTGGGGGGACCCTGGGTTGGCAAACGCTCCCGGTGCCGAGTGTGATGCAGAAGAAATGAAGTGTCATGTTGCAATTTCTATTGCCCCCTGTAACTTTCCTGCTTATTTCAGGTGTGTTTATGCTGGTGGCTGGAGGTATTGTTGCCGGGATATTTTTAATATTCATAGAAATAGCTTACAAAAGACATAAGGATGCGCGGAGGAAGCAGATGCAGCTGGCGTTTGCGGCCGTTAATGTGTGGAGGAAAAACCTGCAGGTAGGACAAACCGTTTTTAGAGCAAATCTCCACCAGGTGCGTTTTCCATTCCTTCACCAAAATCAGTGAATGCAGAGCTGTGGATTAGCATGGGGCCCTCTGTCCCTCACCCCACACCCCAGAAACTCCAGCTGGGCATCAATGGGTGCCCGGCAAGCTGTAGGGTAGTGCCTCATCCCTGGAGGTGTTGTGCACAGCTCCAACTGGGACAGAGATGTGGCCCAAATGCCCCCAGTGGAGCTTGGGATGGGGACTTTGCTCTGCTGGGGAGCACGTGCTCCAAGCAGGCAGTGCCAGTGTGGCTCCCTTTGCAGGTATATCTGCCCTGCTGTCCGGTCTGGCCGTGCTCACCAGCAGATGGGGGGAGGTCAATCCGCTGCCACTGAGCACCCCTGCCCGGTGCTCAGGTGGAGAAATGCTCCAGGGATAGTTTCCATCACCTACCCTTCCCTGCTTGCTCCCCAACAGCGCGGTAGCCCTTGTCACACCCAGGACCGACTCCAAAATGAGGTGGTGCGTGCTCTTGTCCTTTGGAGACAAGGACATTTCCCCACATGGGAGCCAGCAATGCCAGTCCCTGTCAGTGCCAAGGCTCCCTCGGGCCTCTTCCATGGGGCTGTTGTTCTTCCCGGCTTCTCCTGTCCCTGGAACCCCTCTGTGCCACTCAAGGCAGGGAAGCCCAGGAGGGTCAGAGCTGCCTGGCAGTGCCACTGAGCCATGGACATGTCTGTGGGCCACCAGCCTCACACTTCCCTTACCCTGCTGCTTTTGGGGCTGAGCCCCACAGTGCCCCTGAACCCCAGTTTAGAACAGCTGGAGGCTCTGTCTGAATCGCCCAGGCTGGTTTTTTCCCCTGGGGAAGCACCAGCGTTCGAAGAGCGAGAGATCCTTTAGGCGACTAAAGGAGACTGCGCTCGGAGCAGAGCCAGCGAAGGAAAGAGAGAGAACGAGGCTCGGGGACCCCAAAAGGAGCCCGGAGCGGTGGCCCTGGGGGAGCAGCGCTGGCTGGGGTGTTTTGGGGGGGCTGCCCGGGTGGAAGCGACCTGCCCGAGAGCAGCGAGGGGAGCACGAGGCCGGGCTGCTCTATCCTGAGAGCTCACTGGGTTCAGTTCACTGATAAGAGTCTCGGAAAAGCCATTTCTCAACATTTTTTTTGCCTTTTTTACCTCTTTTTTTTTTTTTTTCCTTTGCTTCCAAAAAGCAGCAGCACCGAGGGGGTTAAGGCTGCTGGGACAGAGCACACTAGTCGCACTGCCATTTTTCACTTGCCAACCTTCTAGAAAATACTGCACTGGGTCCTTGGGCAGAGTCTGTGGGACTGTGAGCAAAGCATGCTGCCCTGTGGGGATAAACAACCTCATGGTAAAGAGCCGTTTGACATTGTAAGACTTTTCCACAGGAGGAAACGTCAGAGCACTAGTATCTGGTACATTGCTAGAAGGTAGGCAAGTGGAAAGATTTATTTGTTAAAACAAACAAACAAAAATAATGGTTTTTGGGATCACAGTTTTGCCATGGCTATTTCCTGAGATGCCATGGAAGAAAAAGACATTTCATTCCATTCATCTTGCTTTCCTTTCCGTTTGTGCATGTCCGCAAAAGAGAGAACTGAGAAGGAGGAGCAAATGTATCCCCGAGCATGCTCTACGCACCAGCGGGATACATTTTGGTTACCCCCGTGCGGTAGCAGAGCCAGACCTGGTCACTCCGTCCCCCGTCGGAAAGGTCACACTCATTGGCACGAAAGCAATTGGGGAGGAATCGTTGTCAGCGCCCGCCGCCGAGCGCGGCCGGTCCCCTCGGCTCGCTGCCCCCGCACCATGGCGGCTGGTGCTCCC